AACGCCCCAAATCTTGACTTCTGCGGGCTTCGAAAATATCGATCTCATAATGGATGTCTGAACCAACTGCACTTTCTTTTAAAAAAAAATCGTACCTTCCAAACTCAAGAAAGTAGAAACTTGAAATTTTCACAATCCTTCGAAGACATTTGACTCTAAATATGCTAAAACTTTCCTGAAAATCGCGCACATGCCCGAATTTTACCATCTTAGCAAATATCGGTCTCAACTTCGTTTTGACTCATTTATGCTCTTTCTCTCCTTTAAACATTATTAGTTTCCAAACTAAAGTAACTTGAAATTTTCACCATTGTCGGAAAACATTAGATCCTAGAAGGGCTGACAGATTTCTAAACATCGCCCGAAAGAATGAATTGTTCCACCTTAGCCTATATCAGAATCAATTTAATTTTTACTCATTTGCGTTCTCTCCTTTAAAAACTCACATCTTCCGAACTAAAACAAGCAGCAACTTGAAATGTTCACCACCTTTAGAACACATTTCATCCTAGAGACGCGGAAACTTTCATAACAATTGCCCAAAATCTCGATTTTAATCAGCTAGAGCTGGACAAATGTGGGTATCAAGATAGATACTTCTACTCAACTGCGCTGCCGTCTCCTTAAATTAACATCTTCCAAACTAAAACGACATGAAATTATCAACATCTTTAGAAAACGTTCGGCTCTAGATCGTAGAATTTCCAAAAATTATGATTTTTGCCGGCTTAGAAAATATCGATCCGATTTCGATGTCTTCCTCAACTGTGTTTTTTCCTTTAAAACTTAGCATCTTTCATGCTAAAGAAAGTCGTGACTTGAAATTTTCACAATCGTTAGAAGACTCTTGGGCCTAGAGATGATGTGCAAAAAAATCGCAAAGAGGTCTGAATTTGATCACCTTCGTAAATATCAGTCACTGTCCTTATTCATTTGCGTGCTCTCCTTTGGAAATTCGAATTTTTTAAAATAAAGCAAATAATAACTTGAAATTTCCACCTTCGGTAGAAGACATTTGATCCTAGAGACGCTGAAAGTTTCCTAAAAATCGCCCAAAACCTCGATTTTTACCAGTTTGACAAATGCGGGTCTCAAGATGGCTACTTCTACTCAACTTCGCTGCCTTCTTTAAAAATTAACATCTTCCAAACTGAGGCAACAAACGACATGAAATTTTCAACATCTTCAGAAAACGGTTGGCTCTATAGATCGAAAAATGTTCATAATTAACGCCCGGAATATTGATTTTTGCCTGCTTAGAAAATATCGATCCGATTTGGATGTTTCATTCAACAGTGCTTTCTCCTTTAAAAAATCTCAACGTCCAAAAAATCGGGAGGTTGAAACCTTTACAATCCTGAAAAGACACTGGACACTAAAGATGCTGAAACTTTCATAAAAATCGCCCAGAAGCATGAATTTCACCACCTAAGTAAATGTCGCTCTCGACTTCGTTTTGATTTTTTCTTTAAAAATTTGCATTGTCCAAACGAAAGCAAGTAGCAACTTGAAAATTTCACCATCTGTAGAAGACATTTCATATCTACAAAACCCTTTGAAACGTACCGGTATATACAAATAAAGCAGCTGCGTGCGTTTCGTGAACTCGAGAAAAATCGTTTATTTAATTCCAGACGGTGTAGCGAATGAGAATAATGAAAATGGCCGCAAACATTATCTGGCAGATTGATTTTCCCAATATTCTCTATGCAAATTTATGTTTCCTAAAATTGAAACGTCTAGACTGTTAATGGAACCACAAATCTTTCATACGGAAAACTCGGCTGGCAATAAATTAATTTGCCCAACATTCACATCGCTAACCGAATCGGTGCAAGGCACTTTGGCCCATACCTGCAGCTTTGTATAAATCAAACACCAAGACCTGAGCCGTGTAATTTCGAGCTGGGAAACTTTTATTACTTACTCGATGCTCGATACTTTCAAACACCAAAGTTTAATGAAAGATTCAGATGAAAGAGCAAATACATTCGGGAGCGCTAACTTGTAACTCGGGAATGAATGGGATATTGAACTTGAGCCTTTATAATCCAGAGAGGCAAAACCTTGTTTCCAAAGCTTTGGAAAACAAATGAATTAATTAATCACAAAAGTCACTGTTTCGCTAAAGTTCCACAATATTCTTCCTACTCAAATACCTTGCTTGAAGCACACAATTTTCAACTAGCAAAATTATGACCACTAAACACTCAGAATAGCAATATTCGTTAATTGCGTTGCAAATAAATCAACTTTATATATTTCTCTTGTCGTTTTACGGTTACAGCGACGCCCTGGGGTCAGTCGCAACAAGAAAATTCGCGTTTTGTTTCAGCGAAAAGTTATGGCTCCCTTTACGATCCCATTGGCTTTGTCCTATAAAGAAAACAATAACTTCTCAAACTGGCTCAAGTACTTTGGACGTCAGAAGATGCAACTGCAGAACGCAATAAGGATAAAGAGAAATTTACTCAAAACTTTCGCTCATTTCTCCACTGAAAAATTGAGAATATCTCAATAGAAAATTCCTCTTTTATTAAAAATACTAATTCGTATTGCAATACGCCCGACTCACAATGAGGCCGTTCTCCATTTCATTGTCTTCCTCTCCATTAAAATGGATTGTTTTCCAGCAAAATCCACGTTATTTATTTCGCATAAGCAATGGAAACCAGAGCTCTGCTTTGATAAGCTCGCGATTTATAAAACAAGGATAATTTTGACGGATTTCGCGCAAATGGACGAATGAGAAACTCATTAAATAACTGTGAGTTTTACACTGTCGACAAATAAATTTTTCGAATCGGCGCTGCAGATAGAGAGTAATCAAAAAACAAAAAAAAGCTGGTAAATGACTGTTAAAATCCGATCCATTTCGAATTCTCATGCTTTTCAATTTCCAACATGTTCGATCCGCTGCAGGCGGACGTAAGTAAAACGAAATTGCCAACTAATGAGAAATAATTAACCCGGATATGAAGAGCCGTGATTGCATGTGTCCATCATCGCGTATCAGGCGAATTTACGTACTTCTGGACCCTTCTTCGCTATTTTCCCTGTTCCATATTCAAATCTAAAAGGGTCAACAAACAATTTCCCGTCAGCGACTTTTGATAATGACTGTTTTTCCTGCTGCCATCGTTTTATTAGTATCACTTTGTATCGGGAGCGAGAAAAAAACCAGAGCTGAAAAGGTTTGCAAGTCTAGCTAATGTTAAGAGCAATCGAACACAGTAGACAGGAATAAAGTTTGGCTAAATCTCCAGCTCATTTCGCGATTTTCCCATCTTATTCGGTTTATGTGCGGGAAATGGACTTTATCGCTCTTGGCATCGTTCTCTTTTACGATAACACCTGTATGGAAAGATGGTTTTGGATTTCCAATCATCGAAAGCCTTCATTGAATGTGGGGAAATGGAAATTAGACACTAGTTGGGTATTTTAAATGTATTCTTGTCTCCGAGAGACACTTCTAATCCTTATCACGTAGGTGGCAAGCTTGGCAAAATTTAGCCTCGCTAAACAATACGTTTATCCCCAACAAATTCACTTCATTTACAATTCCTGTTTGATTAACCTTCATTCTTATCTGAGAACATTCTCTGGCTGTTCTGCTAAACAATGTGATAAATTGCCTCAAACTTGCAACACACAAATGAAGTTCGGAAAACTCCACTCATAAACTGCAAGTATAATGACTCAAAGCCGAGTTTATGACTCGACGTCAATTTATTACAACCCCGAAGTTCGGGTTGTTATATAGAAAAGATAGCAACTTTAACTTTCCAACGGAAGTTCGTTAGGTTCGTGTCAGTCATATTTAAGGGGCCCTTGCAAGTGCTAATTATAGCTGCGGTTTGATTATGGTGCCAGCACTCATTTGCATGTTTTCTGGACTTGCCAAAGGCTTCCCATTAACATAACAAAATCTAGGCAAATTCTAGTAATAATTAAACGGCCTATGTTAGAGCCTGTACGAAGAGTTCCCAACTTTGTACAGAAAAGTTCAAAGCTGCAGCGAATTCATTTAAAGCTAATCTCTTATTAATGCAAAGATCATGTAAGTTAGAAAGGTAGCGGAAGTTGACTTTGAAATTTGTATTTAAGAGCGAGCAAACTTTGAAAGTTCGACTAGTAACTAGTTAAAGCACGAGATTCTTTAGTTGGAAATAAAGCTAGTAATGCTGTTACAAATTGGATTGACGATGGAACAAATAATAAAATGGCAATTTCAGAGAAAAACGTTTCGAATTGAAAGTTATAAACTTTAAAGTTTTGAACTTACTTTAGCTACTTAGATGGTGGGTAAATAAGAACAGTAATTTTTAGAATACATTCCCCCATTGAGTAGTTTTTCCATGCTCACTCCTTGCAGCTTAATGGAAACTATATAATTTCCAAGCCACCACCTCCATTACCAACAAATGCAGTCTTTTGGTTAGAAATATCACATTCCTAGCGCCAGCTCGCAGCTACGTTTACAACCCCATAAAGTTAATGCGTACTTTGTAGCATGTTTTCATCACAGATTAATTGGAATATCGTGCTGGCTGCTTTTAGCAATTAATTAACTATTTCTGCACAGGAAAATAATAAGGATGGCGCCTGCTTAAAGGAACTTTTTAATTGAAAGGTTCAGAGCAGCGCTGTTATTAAAATAAAAAGTATAATAGAGATTGTTTGCTCTTTTACAGCAAAGAAAATATTGCCATTATAATTGGAAGCATAATTAATAGAAGAACAAGCAGTAAGATTTTATTGATCTTTGCCGATGTCTAATTTAAAGCGAGTAGTCGAGGAATTAAATGAAAAATAGCTGGCACGAGGTAAGGGCATTTCTGAGCATTTGGCCTGAGAAATTGATCGTAAGCTTTGTAAAAGTTAAGTATGTATCAGAAAACCACAAAATTTGCCATATATTTTAATGTCCATTGGAAATAAAAGGCTGTTATGAGTTCGCGTAAGTTCGAGTAAAAAATGAGTTCTAAGAACGTACTCACCTCTGGCTCTCCTTCTTATTGCACCCAACGGCGATAATATCAAACTTGTAGTTCTTCCTCTTCTCACAGTTCAAACGCCTGTGAGCCTCCATGACTGCTTGTCCATCCTTATTTAGGTACATGCTAAATGGCGCATCCACATGATGTTTGCTCACGATCCGAAACTGACAAACCTCCGAACCCGTAACTCGGATTGGAGGAGTGACTTCCACCATACTTTCGTTCTCTTTCACGATACCATGGTAGCCATTGTCCCGATTGGAGATATCCAGGCGCGGCGCCTCGGCCTCTGGAAACAAAGTGGAAAATCAGGCTGGAGAATCGAATGAAAGGACCAGTTTAATTAAGCTGATCAACATTTTTCGTGTGTGAATTGAAGGGAGTTTTCGTTTAATGAGGAAGCCATGAGGTTGAACTGTAAACAGTAACTGATGTTTTTAGAAAACCGGAAACCGTGCAAGTTCATTTATGTTTCATATATTGAGCTTGCTTTGCATTGAGTTGAAAGTCGTTGAAATTCCCGGATAATGAATAGAGCATGATGTAAAGCTCTGATAATGCTGGTGAAATAAATCTGGTTTCCACACATGCCGAGCATTTTTAATGGAATAAGACTTGGCAAGTGCCTAATTACAAAGTATAATCATAATTAAATAATTAAGTGGATTTGATTTCAATGCTCCGCTACGCTAAAGCCATTTGGTGCAATTGATAATTTAATCAGCAGTGTTTATTCCGCATATATTCAGCGACGCGGCTTTGTGCAATCGTATAGCAGTGAAATAATTTAAACAGCAAAGTTCCATCGCAATTAAAACCGCCATATATTGGCAAATTCAAGTGGCTGCAACTGCGAGGCAATTTCCGGTTGCTGCAGCTGTTCACCCAGCTAAGTTGCAGGTAAACGAAACATTGTTAAAAACTTTCGCGGAGTTTCAATCCCAAATCCAGAGCAATTCATGTATTTTGGAACATTTGCGTTTGAGAAAAGATGCTCTAACTGGAATTGTTGCATTCATCAGTATCCAGAATCATCATTTATCATCATGCAAGGCCATCCAAACATAATTTAACCACAACAATCCGAAATCCGCTCTTTTGAAATCAAAGGAGTCCCGACGCAAAAGTTCCATGCGAGTTTTGCGGCACATTTGAACACGAAAAAATTAATTTCTTCTGCGTGTGTTTGATTGTTTTAAAGGCGGATTTTCATAACAAAATTAGCCCAAGTTCTCAAATATTTTTTGGTCAATTTTCATTGAATTTCCCTACTGCGCTACTGCTTCCAGGCAAAGTGGAACAGACACGGGAATGACAATGATATGGGTAAGTAGGAATTTCGCCCTGCCTTTCTCCGATGGACCACTTAGATTAATAGGTAGAGGATTTCCAGGCTATTTCGGATATCCCATTAAACTTCCACACGATCACGATGTCTAAACTCTTGTTCTTGTTTCACATCAGCACGCTTGACCGGCTAAAAGCCCCGTTTTTGTGGAACAACGCGCGTTTTCGTCCCCAGCTCGAGGATATTTAGTATTTCCATAACAATATGATGATTTACGAATGATGCACTTGTCTCGTAACCAGGCGAAATCCCGAGATTTTTCCGGACAAAAGCGCCGCGGCGCCAAACCCTGGAAACAGTTCTCGCCCTCGAAATGTGCGGGTTTAATATAGCTTCCCGCCTCTTTGTGTTTGGTCTGGATGCCCTATTGTACTTGTTAGGGCATGGAGCTCGTAATAATGCTAAACGAACGTGCTTTTGCTCCCGAAAAGCTGCGGGTTCACACCTACGACCAAAACTATCTAAATTTATAATAAAAGGTGTGTCATACATGTGAAAATTGTGCAGGCATTAGCATAATCGGTATTTATTTTATGTTTCACCTATACATTATTGGCTCATAATACCTTAGAGATGAAACATATAATAATATCCATAACAACCGCAGGGCATTGTTAGCGGGCATTATAGTATAACGCCCGCTTATAATGCTCGCTCATAATGCCCGCTCTTAATGCCCGCTAAGTTAATTTTTATAAAATTATTATTCTCTCGCGTTGACATTTTTCAAGTTTAAACCACAAAAAACAACTGAATAAAAACAAATACCCGTGAACTAAACTTTATCTCCAAAATAAAAATTACAATTTTCAAACGTCCCTGAAAATAAAGCTGAACCGACAACAGAATGGTCCGAGCTTCTAGGAGTGATCTTCTTCTGTGTCTCGCACATGTTT